TATATATATACACATATATATACTGATGTAATACATGTTAGACAAAGCTCTAGTTCAGCATACATAGGAAATTATAAGACAAAAAAAAAATGCCAGGCATGTTGGCACTCATTGGGTTCCCAGCATCTATATCAGGTGGCTCACAACTCCAAGGGTTGTGATGCCCTCTTCTGGACTCTGCATCTGCATTTATACATGCACATACACACAGACACACACATATACATAATTTCAAAAAATAAAATATGGGGAATAGAGAGATGGCTCAGCAGTTAAGGGCACTGGCTGCTCTTTTGCAAAGTATCTGGGTTCAGTTCCCAGCACCCACAGGGTAGCTAACAACCATCCCTAACTCCAGTTCCAGGTGATCTAATGCCCTCTTCTAGCCTCTGCAGGCATTGCACAATACAAGTGCTCTTATATAAACGCAGGCAGAACACTCATAACACATAAAACCAAAACAAATAAAAATTTTAAGTGCATATTAAAATCTCTTTCTTTTTTGAGACAGGTCTCACTGCTGGTCTGGTACTCACAGAGATTCACCTGTCTCTGCTTCCCCAGTTCTGGGATCAAAGGCATGCCATACCATGCTGGGGAAAATCTCTTAATAAGGACTGGCAAGATGGCTAAGCAGGTAAAAGCACTGACTGCTAAGTCTGACAACCAGAGTTGAATCCTGTAGCCCCACATGTTGGAAGGGGAGGACTCCCACTCCGTAATGCAGTTCATACGTGTGCAGTGATTGGCGTGACCACACACACACACACACACACACACACACACACAAACAACAAATGCAATTTTTTTTTTTTTTTTTGGTCTTTTTGAGACAGGGTCTCCCTGTAGCCCCAGCTGTGTCATGGTTTTGTTTTGCTTTGCTTTGCTTTTTAAGGAACTGAACAGCCTGCATCTCTCATTGTTCAAAGTGAGCTTTCTACACTATACACTACCAAGCAACAAATAAAACACCTATTAATAGAGTTGCCTTATCAAATCCTGTTTCAAGAACCAGGAACATTGGAAAAGCAGAAAAGTCTGCAAACACTGCTTTAAAGCAGTGACACACTTGCACGCTGTCCTCAAGGGGTTCCTCCAATACTAAGATCAGAGGAAAACTAACTCCTTGGTGAAGAAACTGCTTCCATATTTATCTTCCATTATAACTGAATTCTGTTTGACAAAGCATACATACTACACCTGCTTTCATAGCCCAGGAGGTAAGAAGAGGGCTTTGAATTCCCCTGGAACTGGAGTTAAGGACGGTTTGCAGCTGCCATGTGGGTGCTGGGAATCGAACCTAGGTCCTCTACAAGAGCAGTCAGTGCTCTTAACAGCTGAGCCATCTCTCCAGCCCCAAGAACTGCTAGTACTCTTAACCACTGGGCCATCTCTCTACCCTTTGTAGTGGACACTTTGTTTTGACACAGGGTCTCCCTGTGGCCCTGGCTGGCCTGGAACTGGCTATGTAGATCCAGTAGCCTCTGCCTGCCGAGTGCTGGGATTAAAGGTGTGCACAATCCCATCTGGCCCTACAAATTATACATATACATATATATATATATATATATAGTTCTCCACCCCTGAGCTATGGAAATGCTTGGAACTATGTAGACCAGACTGGCCTTGAACTTAGAGATCCACCTGCCTCTGCCTCCGAGTGCTGGGATTAAAGGCGTGTGCCACCACGCCCAGCACAAATATTTATTTTTGCTGGATATTGTGCTGTTAGCCAGGCTGGTGGCATACAGCTTTAATCCTAGCATCTGGGAGGCTAGGGCAGGAGGATCTCTGTGAGTTCCAGACCAGCCTGATCTATATAGCCAGTAACAAGTCAGTTTTTTTTTTTTCCCCCTTGGGTGGGGTGTCTTTTTGGGACAGGATCTCTCTTAGCCCCAGCTGGCCTGTAGATCAGGCTGGCCTTGAACTCACAGAGATCTGCTTGCCTCTGCCTCCCGAGTGCTGGGACTAAAGGCATGTGCCACACACTGGTGAAAAAAGTTTTTTCTTTCAACAGTCTTGCTGTGTAGCCAAGGCTGGACTGTACCACACTCACCCTGCCTCTGGTTGTGGAATGCTGGCAGTACAGGTGTATGTCCACTGTACTTGGGATGGACTGGGGCATTTTTTGATGATTGTTTCACAAGCACTCCTTCTGGCTGGGCATTATGAATGGCTCATACCTGCATCTGGCACAGAGCCTGGTGCCCTTCCTGCATGCCTTTGCCTTCCCACTGTGTCCAGCAGCCTAGCCCTCTTCCAACTTCCCCACTTGGCCCCTGCCACCTCCTACTCGATGGTTACCCCAGCCCAGGGCCAATCTGAAGCATACCTCAAACCCCTTCTCCTGTTTGGTGGGGAACATCCTGCATGTACAGTAGTGGCTGAAGTAGCATTTCTTGGCTAGGTAGAGGTAAGGGCAGGCAGCCACTGGGGGTCTTCAGTAACCCACGGCAGAGACAAAGAACAAGGCTTTAATGTCAAGGTGCTGGGGTTCCCCCAAGGCACAGACACCTCACCAAGATCAAATAAATATATATGCAGGAAGGCAAAGTAGATGGCAGGGCTGGCAGCAGGGCTGCCTGCTGTCCCTGAAGTCTTGGGTGAATCATGGCCCTTGGAAGCAGCTGCACCTAGAACCCTGACTCCTTAGTCACTCTCCGAGTCAGAGTAGTCAGCCACTAGGGAGGCACTGAGGTTGCTGGGCTGTAGGTCCTCTGGGGAGGAGCCTACTGGGGACAGGGCCTGGTCCTTGCAACTCCCCTTGCGCTCCAGTGTCCCACTGGTCCCAGGGGTGTCAGATGTCTCCTGGAGGCCGTCCTGTGGGGACACAGCTTTGTCCTGGGTGGTTCCCTGTGGCTGGCTAGGCTCTGCTGGCTTGGAGCTGCCTGCTGCCTGCTGGAGACTCTCTGGTACTTCTCGGGACCTCCGCCGCACTATGCCCAAGTCCCCTGGGGTGCCTGCGCTGGGAGGCAGTGGTCTGCGGACCTGAGACAGCTTCTGCAGGACACTGGTGGCCTTGCTACCATGTGCACCAGGTCCTTGGGTGGACGGGAACCAGGAGCGGCTGATAATCTCCGTCCGCTTCTGTTTCTGCTTGTCGTCATAGGCTGCAGGGAGGACAGGGTATTGAGCAATGACCCCTTGGGAGTCCATCCCCACCACTGCAGGTAACCCACCCCCCAGCTCTGCAACCTCTGCCTCCCATGAGCCTCCTGGCCAGATGCCACCACTCACAGTCCAGGGTGTGGAATCTGAGCAGGGCGGCCAGCTTGCGGTCGTCCTCTGACTCTGGCACTAGAGGGATGGACAGGCTGGCCTTAGCCTGCAGTGCCTGGTCCCTCTCCTCCTCTTCCTGCACGGCTTTCTTCTTCTCCTGCGGATATAGGAGAAGGGATATCAAAGCCCAACAGGCCTCATTGCAGGTGCTGGGTCTGTTCCCACGCTAAGTGAGGGAAGGGCCCACACAGCACCTGGATGAAGTCACTCCACAAGCTGGAAGCCTGTCACCCTGAAACAAGGCGATGCACCACAGTGTGGCCTTCTCAAGGATGGGCTGAGGGATGACCCACCAGGCAGGTCCTGTCACCTTCCATAAGGGTGGTGGCTGATGCCTGTTATCCCCACATTAAGAGATTGAGGCAGGAGGCTGGAGAGCCTAAAGCCAGCTTGAACCATACTGCCAAGCCCTTTCTGTTCTTTGACACAATCCTCCTGCCTCAGCCTCCTGAGTGCTGGGGCATGAACCACCATATCCAGCTTCTTTTTGAAGTTGGTGTTCAACTTCTGAGCTCAGGTGACCTTCCCGTCTCATCCTGAGTAGCTGGAACTACAGACAGACACAACTGAAACCAGCTTTTTCATGTACAGGGCTCTGCTCTTTAGCCCAGGTTGGACTGTAACTCTGATGCTCTTGCCAGAGTTTCTTCCATGCTAGAATGATAGGCACCAGTCACCATGCATGGCTCCCTGCTTACATGGAAACTTTGACCCCTGTGTGACAGCTGATGTCAGGGTGAGGGCTCACTCTCCTCAATGGGCTCCTTATCCTTAGGGAGCCTGTGTGTGCCTTCTGCCCCCTGAGACAGGACAGGAAGGCTCTGACAGACAGGCCCTCTGTACACAATCTACTGGTGCTTTAATGCCAGACTTCCAGCCTGCACAGCAGTGAGCAATATGTTTCTAGTGTATAAGCTGCCCAGTCTGTGGTATGTATTACAGTATTGGGAATAGAAATGAGGCAGGGGCGAGATGCCTGTGCACACAGTCTGGGACTCAGAGGGAGACATGACCAGCTTGCAGCTGAGTATGGGGGACGTAGGTCAGGACTTGCAGTCTCCCTGTTGTGTCTGTCTGTGCCCCAGCCACATGAAGCTTGGCTCACCCGAAAGCGCCTGCGTAGCATGCTATTCAGGGCAAAGTCGTCCTTCCAGGCATTCTGTGCCTCCTGGATGTGGCTGAGTGTGGGGAGGGCCTTCTTCATCACGCTCCGGTCAGCCTCGCCGTGCTCCAGGCGGAACATGGCATCTGTCTCCAGTTTCTCTTTCTTCTCATGCTCTGCAAGGACCATGAAGGTCTGACTCCAAGGCCTCTGGGGAAGAGGCTTGGGGTGGGTAGAAAGCAGCGGGCACTCACCTGTAGTCAGCACCTGCTCATTGTCCTCCATGTCCCAGCGTTCTTCCTTGCGCTGGGCGCCACTCACGATGACATAGTCGCAGTTGGCAGGGTCTGTTTGCATCTCGATGTAGTTGACACAGAGGTGGCATTTCATTCGGAACCTGGGGACGGGTGAGTCAGGGTGCTGTAGTCCTACCCTGGGTCCTTTCTGTGTACTGAATCCTTCAAGCAGGCCCTGGCACCCAGTGCCACCACACAGTGTTCAGAGGCAACTGCTTTAGAAAAGGTCCTTTCAGGAGCTGGAAAGATGGCTCAGTGGTTAAAAGCACTCAGATCTGGGAGGAGCCTGGGGAAGATAGAGCCAGCGTGCATCCAGAAGAGGACTCAAGAGGCTGAAGATGGGGCTGGGACTCAGATACAGGGCCTATCAGGTCAACCTAGGCTTTAAAGTGAGACCCTGTCTCAAACAAAACTCACTTACGAGAGACTAAAGCTGGCTCTTTCATGAAGTGTGTGTTCACTTATCTGCCCATTCCTGCACCTGTCCATTCCCTCACTTACCAGTCCACCCCCTTCACCCACCTATCCACCCATTCACTTACCCACGTACCCATCCACCTACCCGCCAATCCATCCATCCACTCACCTTGCCACCCATCTACCCACCATCCATTGCTCCATTGGCCATACTGTACCAGGCTGCAAACTAGAAGCTTGGCAGTGGAGTAAGCTAGTTTGTTCCTGGGGGGCTGGGGAGTGGGTGGCAAGTCACAGCAGGGGTCAAGGAGCTACCACACAGTGTTCAGAGGTAACTGCTTTAGGAAAGGGTCTTTTAGGAGCTGGAGAGATGGCTCAGTGGTTAAGAGCACTGACTGCTCTTGCAGAGGACCCGAGTTCAATTCTCAGCACCCACAAGGCAGCTAACAACCATCTGTAACTCTAGTTCCAGGCGATCCAAAGCCCTCTTCTAACCTCCGAGGGCATTGCGCGACATGGGTACACTTATACATATGCAGGCAATACACTCATACATATAAAATAAAAATAGTAAATAAATTAAAAAAAAAAGAAAAGGTCCCTTTAAAGGTGGTGTTTGAGCAGCAACCAAGGGATAGGGCCATGTTGTTACCTAGAGAAGCACATTCTGTATGGAGGGCAGAGATGGGAGTCCCTTGGGTGTGATGAATAGAGGCTTTGTGGCCTGGAGCAGGGTGAGTGGTTGGGAGGAGGGGAAGGGCCTTGTGATCCAGGAGAGGGCTTGGCTTTTACTGGGGAAGATGAGAGCCATAAAGAGTTCTTCAGAAGCCGGGCATGGTGGTGCACACCTTTGATCCCAGCACTTGGGAGGCAGAGGTAGGTAGATCTCTGATTTCCAGGCCAGCCTGGTCTACATAGTGAGTTCCAGGCCATCTGGGGCTACAGGGAAACTCTGTCTCAAAAAGACCAAAAAAAAAAAAAGAGTTCTTTGGGGAGTGACATGTGTAACTGGCAGGTCAAGAAGGACAATCCCACAGAGAACTGGGGAGGGTGTCAAGTTCCCTTCCCCTTCAAAATGCCTCTATAGGCCTTTATCCTGTGGCCACACCTATCCACAAGATGCCACCAGCTGCTCCTACCTGTAGATGGGGGTCGTGTAATAATTGCCAACCTTCTTCTTTTCTGCATTGTAGCGCACACCTGAGAGGGCAGAGAGAGAGAGACAGAGAATAGACGCTGTGGCCAGGGAACCTCCAGCATATTTTCTCTGGGTGGGAGGCAGACAAGTTGGTATTTTGTTGCCTGCAAGGGCAGGCAACATTCTTTCAAGGAAAGAATGGAATTGAAGAGGCACTCAAGCCACAGGCAAATGTGGTCTGGAGCTGGAGAGCAGGTTCCAACCCTGTTTCTACTCCAGCTCCAACTGAACAGCCGTAAGCAAGAAGCCTTTCCCTCTCTGGGCCTCAGTTTCCCATCTAGTCAACAAAGACAATGGTACTTCCCACTGCACAGGGCTCTGGAAAATCCTTCTAAAGATCTGGATGTGGGGCATGTCTATGAACCTAGCACTTGGGAAGCAGAGGCAGGGGGATGGAATCTGAGGTCAGCCTGGGTTACAGAGCCAGACCCTGTCTCAATAAATACATACATACATAGTACCCAAGTGAAGGAAGGGTCAGCTTCCTACACCTTTAGAACATTTTAAGATTTTTCTCCTGGCTAGGTGATACATATTCTTGCCTTTTGGCCTTGACTGACAGAGCTTAAGCTAATCAGCTGGGTTTGGGTGTTTGTGCTGCGGCCTGGTTGGGTTTTCTTCCAGGGCAAACTGCATTAGCCTGGGCTGGAGTATGGATGTACCAGAGGGTAAGCTCCAACTGAGACACACCCCGAAGGAGGCATCCTGTTTCCAGTGTGGTAGTTATTACAGTGTGTATTTGGGCTGCCATCTTAGCTTTGTGGCTCCTAATCCCTCTCCAAGGAAGGTCACAGGCATGACAGTGAGTCTGTCCCATAGCCAGTAACAGTGACTCTCCTCTGCCCCTGCCTTTCCTTTCTACTGCCCTGGTGCTGGTTTGAAAGAAGGTTCCTGCCCTGTTCTTACCCAGTGGAAGATCCTAAGACCCTGCTCATTGCAGAGGGGCCCTGCCCTGTCCCAGAAGGACAAGTCCTACCAAGAAGACTGTGAGTAGTGGACTGTGGGCTATCAGCAATCTTGCTTGTGTGATGATTGTGTGATGAGGCCTCCATGAGGCATGAAGGGCTTATAGGCAGCTGGACTGGGAGTGGCTCCTGGGGGGGATCCCATATACTCCATGCCACTTGTCTCTCACATGCTATCTACACACCTAGGAGCCAATCATCCACCCATCTGCCATCTACAATCATCCATTCATCTACCATCTAATTGCTGATCACCCATCAATCTACCATCTATCTACAATCATTCTTCTACCATCTATCTTCAATCATCCATCCATTTACCAATCATCCATCTATCCATCCATCCATCCATCCATCCATCATCATCATAATCCCACCCACCATCTATTTACAATCGTCTATCCATCCACTAACTATCTACAATCATCCATCAATCACCCATCCATCTATGATCCATCCATCCATTCATCCATCCATCCACCCACCTACCTACATATCTATGTTCATCTTTGGTTGCATTTTATTTTTTGCAGTGCTAAAGTTAAACCCAGGGCTTTGCATGTGCCAGGAAAGCATTCTATCACTTAGTCATGTGCCCACCTCTTGCTTTTTGGAGAGTGCTTCACTATGGAGTCCAGGCTAGCTTATACCTCCCAATCCTTCTGCCTCAGCCTCCCTGGCTCTGGGATGACAGGTGTGCACCATTGATTCTGCTTTAGTATTCTATAATAGATGTGTTCCCTTCAGCTCCTGGGGCTGTGGGATTCTGAGCTACACTTGCTGGCCAGTTGCCCAGGGAAACCCAGTTGGGGGTGGAGATTGGACTCTGAGGGGTGGTCTTGGGGACTGTGCTTCCCTCTGGGGGCTCTGACAGAACCAAACGGATTAGAGGTCACGCGAGGCACCAGCTGCTCAGAACTACTTGGTGTAGCGTAGTTCCCCTATTAGGTGTCAGAGGGATGGCCTGGGGGCAGCAAGATGGCTCAGTGGGTAAAGATGCTTGTGCTAAGTCTGAAGATCTGAGTTCAATCCCTGGGACCCATGTGTTGGAAAGAGAACTGACATCCATAAGGTGTCCTCTGACCTCCATACATGCATGAGTATGCACACAAACACACAATAAATAAATAAATAAATAAATAAATAAATAGGTTAAATTTAAAAACAGAAGAGCTTATGTGGATTAACAGTTTTAAACCAAGATGTCTGTTCCTCATTCCAGAGGAAGTCAATAGGTGTTACCTCCCAAGGTTTCAGGGCTGCTGGGCTTGTGGCTGATGACAGTGAGACCAGATGGTGTGTATGTTCCAACTCTCTGTATAGACCACATGTCTTAGGGAGCACCCTGGACACCAAGCGTGGGTTCTCATACCACCTCATTTACAGACTGGGAAACTAAGGCACACAAAGGTCAGCCACTGGCTAAAGGTCACCATGTTAGTGAGTAGCAGAGACAGGATGTGGACCCAAGGGCCCAGTGTGATCATTCTGCAACTTAGGCACCTGCCACCTTCCCAATTCCTCCTTGGGCCCTCCTGGGGGTGTCTCATAGCCAGGTGGGTATGGGGCAGGCAGGCTCAGGGTGAGGAGCTGGGCAGAGAAGCTGGGGGATGAAGTGCTAGATGGGCATGGGGTAAGCACAACTCACCCATGCCAATGTGATTCTTGCAACCATCACACCAAATGTTGTATGGCATCTCAAATCTGCAGAAACAGACAGAATCTTTCATTCCTTCTTTTTTAAGATTTATTTTTACCAGGCATGGTGGTGCACACCTTTAGTCCCAGTACTCTGGAGGCAGAGGCAGGAGGATCTCTGTGAGTTGAAGGCCAGCTGGGGACAGGGAAATCCTGTCTCAAAAAGACCAAAAAAAAAAAAAAAGATCTTATTTTGTGTGTTTTGCCTGCATGTATGTAAGTGTACTATGTACATGCACCACAGGTACCAGATCCCTTGGAACTGGAATTGTAGACAGTTGTTAGCCATGTGGGTGCTGGGAACCAAACCCTGGTACTCTGCAAGAGCAGTCAGTGCTCTTAATGACTGAGTCATTTCAGTCCCTGGTTTTTCTTTTCTTACATTATTTATTGTGTGTGAATATGTGAGCCAGCACATGCCATGGTGCATGTCTGAAGGTCAGAGGACAACTTTCAGGAATTGGTTCTCTCCTTCTACCCTGTTGAGTTCTAGGGATGGAACTCAGGTTGTCAAGCTTGGTGGCAAGGGCCTTTACCTGCTGGGCCATCTTGTCAGCCCCTTTCTTCTTGGGGTGGGGTCTGGGTATGTTGCCCAGGCTGTCCTGGAACTCTTGGACTCAAGTAATCCTTCTGCTTCAGCCTGCCCAGTATCTAGAAGCCAGGTGAGCCCTTGTTCAGGCTGCTGCTTTTCCTCCTATGGCTTGTCCCACCCAGACGGGGGGTCTGGCTCTAGCCCTAGAATCAGTACCCACTTTGGGCAATCAGGACAGAAGGGACAGCAGGCCAGGCCTGGGTCTTGGCCTCAGGACACCCTGCATGCTCTGCTTGCTGTCAAACCATGATGCTGCTGGCTGAGAAGCCCAGGCTGGCCCACTGGAGAAAAAGATCCACTGTGGAGCAGTCTAGTTGTATAGGCAAAGGCCCCACTGGACTAATCAGTCCCCAGGTACTAACCCTGCTCCCACAAAAGCAGCAAGAAGGCCTAGCTAGGCTCTTCCAAGCCCAGAAGAAGCACCCAGACTCATTAGCAATAGCAAATGCTTATTGCTTTATTATACAGCAATAGATGACTAGTACAATGCCTTTCTACTTTAGGGAATTATGATCTCATAGCCCTGGGCCAATCAATCAGAGGACATGAGACATGCAAGGAGGCCTGAAGGGGGAGGTCTTGGGGAAAGGAGTGGGCAGCGTCTTACCGGATGACAAGGATGCCTTGTGACAGCTTCCGAGCCCGTTCCCGAAGAGGGTGGCTGTTGTGATATCGGTTGAGAGAGCCATGCTGTGGAAAGGGTGAAGGCAGGTGAGCAGGGCCAGGCTGAGAGCTCACAGCATCTGCTGAGCCCAGCTTTCAGGGAACAGAACCTCCGGGGCAGGAAGGCTTCAAGCTTATATCCCACGAGCAGCATGTGAGGATGGAGGTCTTGGTAAAGGGCTTCCAGGAGCCCTCAGGGATGCCAGTGTCCCCGGAAGTCACCTATATGCAATGTCCAGACACCTGGGTGGAGCCCTCCAGCTTCCTCTTGGGGACCTGCGATGCCTCTCAGGTGACCTGTGACACCTGGTCCCATGTCAGTGCCAAGGACTAGACACCTCATTGTGCTGCTGGGGAGTCACCAGAAGTGCAGCCTGCTGACACTTCTTGTGACCTGGGGTGTGGAGCTCTTGGGCTCAGGATCACATGAAGCTCCTGATCAGGAGCTCAAAGAACTGAGCTATCTTGTGTGAATGACCTCCACTGTGCTCTCCTGAGCCTCAGCTTCCCCTCTGTCACCTGGGGACAGTGACTGTCATTCCTCCAGGTTCTTTGGGGAGGATCGTGATAATGATACTGTCAATTGTTCCCTGGGACATCTGTATGTCTCCTCATTTTAACTCCCCATAGACTCCATGAGCTCTGGCACTTCATTTCCTGACATACTGGGCACTTAGCATCAACATGAGAACTTTGCTCAGGGTCACAGGCAGCTGGAGCACTTGGGCCCTGAGTGCTCACTGTGTGAGGATGTGGCCACAAAGAGGACAGGTGAACATCCCTATTCTTGCAGTAGGTGCTCCAGTAGGGAAGGCTGACAGCACGCACGCACGCACGCACGCACAAAATGAGGCCCAGGGGCTGTGAAGATCAGAAAAGGAGCAGGTAATGTGATAAGGAGCAAGACCACAGTCAGAGAGACTGCTGCACAGGAGACCCAGGCTATGTAGGCTTCCCAACCTTTTGACATAATGTCATTGTTATTAAGCTTCTTGTTTGAGAACTGTGTGATCAAGTTATGAAAAAAGCAGGGCTCAGTGGTTAAAGAACACTTGTTGTTCTTCTAGAGAATCTGGGTTTGAGTCCCAGCACCCACACAGCTGCTAACAACAGTCCATAACTCCAGGTCCAGGGGGTCCAACGCCCTCTTCTGGCCTCTGTGGGCGTTGTGCACACATGGTGTACTTACATACATGCAGGCAAAACACTCACATACATAAAATAAAAATAAAATATAAAAAATCCAAATAATCTCTAAAAATCAAAAATAAGAAACAAAATCTAATTAAAAAAGGCAACATATATTTAAAAATCTCACTGTTTTAAGTAAGTTTGAGATTTCAGGTTGGGCTACATGTGATCCATGGACCACAGGCTGGATGCTTCTGAGATGGAGGATGTGGCTGGGGGAAGAAGCTTGAACTGGGATGGTGACAGGCTCTGATCCAGGCCTGAGTGCTCAGCCCCAGCTTAGCTCTGATATAAACTTGATAAACTGGGTGCTAGGCACAGAACACAAGGTTATCCTGGACAACTGGTGTCACTCAGGAGAGCAGAGATCAAGGGGTGCCAACCCCTCTACAATCCTGGTGCCAATTAAGGGCACCTATGTTATGCAGCAGAGGCACTGTCTTACCTTCTCGGGATTGAAATCTGGAGGGTAGTACTTGTTCACACCTTTTCTTTCACCCTGAAAACAAAAAGGAGATGTAAGTTAGACAAGACCTTCCAGGGCCTGGGACATGCTTACAGCCCTGCCAACATCTCATCATCAGTAACTATAGCTCTGAAAGCTTCCTTCAGGCCCATACTATTTTACATACTATTTTTGGGACCATGGCTGACAGTGACTTGAGACAGGGCCTCACATAGGGCAGGTTGGCCTCTAATTTGCTATGTAGCTGAGGATGACCTTAACTCCTGAGCCTCCTGCCTTCACCTCCCAAGTGCTGAGATCACAGGTATGTGCTACCACAGGCAGTTAATGTGCTTGGGAGAGACCTGGGGCTTCCTGAATATGAGATTCATGTGAGTTAGACCCCAAGCCCACTTTTTTTCTGAGGTAGAGCTTTATTCCATAGCCTATTCCATAGGCAGGCTTCCAACTCAAAGCAATCCTCCTTCTTCAGCCTTCTGAGTGCTGGGATTATAGGGTATGCCACTATAACCCTCTGGCCTTCTCAACGAAATGCTGGCAGCCATCCATGGGATATACTTAAGACCACACTCCCACCCTCCAGAGCTATGGCTGTCAAACTGGCAGCAGCAGGATCACTGGCATGGTGGCTGGACAGTGGGATGCTTGGAGGCTCCTGGGACAACAGAGACTCAGAGCCTAGGACATATGTGTTCACAGAAGCACAGTTCAGACAGCAGGTAGAAACAAGTGACAAAGATGTCTACCAACAGGGGCTGCAGAGATGGTTCAGCAGTTAAGAGCACTGACTGCTTTTGCAGAGGGATCTGGGTTCAGTTCCCAGCACCCACATGGTGGCTAACAACTGTCCTTAACTCCAGTTCCAGGGGATCTGATGCCCTCTTCTGTCCTCCTCAGGCACTGCATGACATGAGTGAACTAACAGGCAATACACTCATACACATAAAATAAAAATAAATTAACAAAAAAAAGATGCCGGGCGTGGTGGCACATGCCTGTAGTCCCAGCATTTGGGAGGCAGAGGCAGGCGGATCTCTGTGAGTTCAAGGCCAGCCTGGTTTACATAGTCAGTTCCAGGACCGGGAAACCCTGTCTCAAAAAGACAAAAAAAAAAAAAGAAAGATGTCTACCAACAGGTACATTTTGGAAATGTATGATCCAGGGCTGTGGGCAGCCTGGTAAGACACTTGCCCAGAATCTTGATGCTACCCCAGCTGAGGGAAAAAACAGCCCTTCCACACAGTGCACAGAGTATTACACAGCCACAAAGGGATGACATACTGACAACTCATGATAGCTGAACCTTGAACTGAATGAAAGGAGCCAGACACAACATCCCACAGTGCACTACAGCACACAGAGTGTACACAAAACATCAAAGTGCACAGCACACCACAAGCATACAGCGTGCTACATAACATAACATGTTCGTGGAAGGCAGAGTCTGGAAGCAGCTAAATGGCTGTGGGGAGGGAGGGATGAAGACCGACAACTCGGGGTACAGGGCAGTGGCAGGGCCCTTGCCCGGCAGGTACAAGGCTATATCCCCAGCACTGCATAAGCTGGGTGTGGTGGAACACAACTGTGATCCTTGCATGTGGGAGGTAGAGGCAGGAGGACCAGGAGTTCAAGATCATCCTCAGCTACAAAGCACCGAGAAGAAAGCGGGAGAAGCAGGAGGAGCGAGACCCGTATGGAGAGAGGACTGGCTCTGCAGCGGCTTTAGTGTCCAGCAAAGGTCTGCAGCCACCATCCAATCACCTTCCAGCAATCACCTTCCACCTTAGAGCCCTGGGGTAGAGCTGGCCTAGGTCAGGCAGCTTGGTGTGGGGCTTCCTGGGGATGGGGGCAGGGCTGCCAGGAAGCGGAGTTGCCCCAGGCTGTACCAGAGACCAGGCTTTCTACTCACCATCTTGGGAGCCGCCCACTGGTCCTAGCTAGCAAGGCTGTAACTGGAAACTGAATCCAGCAGTTCAGGTGCTGCCCTCCTGTGGAGCCAGTCAATCCTCTGCAGTGGGGTGCTGTCCTCCAGTGGAGCTCCTCAATCCACTTGGTGGGGTGCTGCCCTCCTGTAGACCTAGACAGAGGCTGCAGGCTGCCTATGACATGGTCTGTGGAAGTTTGGTTCTTCCTATTTCTGGAAGATCACAATAATTCTGAGTTGTAACCAGGATACTGGGCCTCCACAGGGCACAGGAGCACCCAGGGAGGGAGGGCACAAAGGAGTAGAGACAGAGAGAAAGAGCTTGGCTCCTGATTCTGGCCTAGGATGGGCTGGCCCAGCCCATCCCAGGTTGCAGACTCTTCTTCCAGCCTAAGCCTGGCTGGCCACAGAAGCTGCAGGGTTTTTTTTTTTTTAATTTAATTTTGTTATATATTGTGTGTGCCTGTATGTGTGGAAGTCAGAGGACAGCTTTGTGACGCGGGTTCTCTCCTTCCTTCATGTGGGTTCTTGGACTGAATGCAGCTTTCCAGGCTTGTGTGGCAAGCACTTTTACCCACTGAGCCACCTTGCTGGCCCAAAGTTTTAGCTGCTTTTAATAGACACCCAGGGGTTGGTGACTCCAAGGTTAAGAGCACTTGCAGCTCTTGCAGAGTGCTCCAGTTGAGTTCCCAGCTCCCACATCAGGTAGCTCACAACTGCCTGTAACTCCAGCTCCAGGGGATCTGGTGCCCTCCTCTGGCCTCCACCCACACACATGTGGTGCACAATCACACATGTACATATAAATAAAAATAAAATCTTGAAAAACAGATGGTGGGCCGGCTCCAACCTGCAGGTCTGTCCACCAGTTCCTGGCTTACCTAGCCTTGGACTTCTATGCTCTCAGGAGCTCAAGTATCAGGTTCAGTCTGGATCCTATCACAACTGTGGACCAATTGTGACAGGATGACTAATGAGGACCTGCCCAGCATCAGAAGCTCACAGTGGCATGAAGTCTGATGGGGTGGGGCAAAGCCCCAGATCCAAACTGGGGTACCAGAACCCTGAATCTGTGTTCATTTAGGATCTCCCAACTTTCCTCATCTTCTTGTAAGAAAAATTCAAAAGATTTATTTTATTGATTACTCATTATTTTATTATGTGTGCATGTGAATGCAGGAGCTGGAGTTACAGGAGATTGTGAGCTGCCTGACATGCGTCCTGGGAACCGAACACAGATCTGAAAGTGCAGCAAGGTCTCTGAACCACTGAGCCATCTCTCCAGCCCCTAAATTTTAAAAACTGCTATTTATAGCCTGGTGTGGTGGCGCACCCCTTCGATCCCAGCACTCCAGAGGCAGTCGGATCTCAGTGAGGTCAAGGCCAGTCTGGTCTACACTGTGAGTTCCAGGCCAGCTGGGGCTACAAGGAGACTCTGTCTCAAAAAGACGAAAAAAAAAAATCCCATTTATTATTATTACTATTATTGTGTGCGTGTGGTGGTCATAGGACAACTTTCCGGAGTCAGTTCTCTCCTTCCACCATACGGGTCCCGGGGATCAAACTCAGGTCGTCAGGCGGCCGCAAGCGCCTTGCAGGCTGAGCTATCTCGCCGGTCCTCAAGCCCTTTTTAATAAGCACCATGTTCCGCACTCTAGCCCTCACCGCGCTGAGCAGGGCTTGGAGGGCTCATCTTCCCCCATGAGGACGCCTAGGGGCCTCTGAATGACCAGCGCGGGGGGTCTCACGTCCGCAGGCCCGGTAGTTTCGGTGCCGGGTGGGAAGACACCAGTGAGATCCCCCCAATTACGGCTGCAACCTGCAGCTCGTACCTACCTGCCCTTCTGCTGACGTCACGCCCGGAAGTGCGCCCCAGGGCCGCAGAGGAGCGTAGTGCCCTCCTCGTGGGATGAGGACGCATGTGCAAGGCGGGACGAGGCAGCTGCGCCACGTTGATTGGCTGAGAGCTGTACACGCCGCGCGCTGTCTCCGACGAGCGGACCAATCCAGGTCTGTCCACAGCCTCTCGTCAGCGCTCCGCCCCTTCTCGCCCCGCCCACTCCTTGAGGTCCAGTCCTTGGCGGCCGCCTTGGCCCGTCCCCGAAGCTCTGCTGTCTGCTCTGAATCCACCGGTGGTTTGCGCGGTGGCTCCTGCTGGAATGGCTAGTGAATCGGAAATTGATTTTCCATTTTAAATCTTTGGTTGGTTATTTGTTTGATTTATTAGTTTATGGATATCAGGGGATTGCTTGCAGGAGTCGGTTCTCTTCTTTCAACACGTGGTTCCTCCGGATCGTGCTCAGGCTTAGTGGCCAAGCAACTTTACCAGTTGAGCCTTCTATCGGGTTCTTTGTATTTCTTTTTCTTTTTTGGTGTTTTTGAGACAGGGTCTTCCCCAGCTGACCTGGAACTCGCTATGTAGACCAGGCTGGCCTCGAACTCACAGAGGTCCCCCTGCCTCTGCCTCCCAAATTGCTGGGATTAAAGGCGTGCGCCACCACTCCCGGCTGTATTTCTTTTTTTAATCCGCGTGCCTCTGTGCCTCCGAGCGCTGGAATTGAAGGCCTGCGCCACGACACCCGGCTGTGGGTTTTATTATTTTTATTTATGTGTATGCGTGTATTGCCTGCATGTAGGTAAGTGCACGCGTGTCCTGCAATGCCCGCGGAGGACAGAAGAGACTGTCGGATCCCCTGGAACTGGAGTTACAGACAGCTGTTAGTTGCCATGTGGGTGCTGGGATTCGAACCCAGGTCTTCTGCCAGAACAGAAGCCATCTCTCCACCCCCGCCCCTGGCTGTGGGTTTTTAAGATTTTATTTATGAGTATGTGTGTTTGAGTGCATGCCTGCAGAGGCTAAAAGAGGGCATCGGACCACCTAGAGCTGGAGTTACAGGTGGTTGTGAGCCACTAGATTTGGGTGCTGGGAACAGAACTGTAGAACAGCAGCAACTGCAGAGCCATCTCCTTTTGTTTTGATTTGAGACAAGATCTCACTACGTAGATCTGCCTACCCCTGCCCCTAACCTATGGATTTTTGAGAATGGATCTCATGTAGCCAGGGATGGGGTTGAATTCTTGATCCTCCTGCCTCCCTAGTATTGGGATTACAGGTGCGATGGTCTTATTTATTTATGGAGTTTTGAGACAGCACACCCACACTAAAATTAGAATCATCTGAGAAAAAAAACCTCTGGGCATGTTAATGGAGATTCTAGATTAGGTTGAGGTGGGAAGACACTATCCCATAGTCTGGGATCCAGTAGTGACCAGAAAGGAGAAAGTGAGCTGGGCAGCAGTGTTCACCTCTTTCTGCCTCTTGACTGGCTGCGAGTGACTAGCTGCCTCTCACTTCTGCTGCCATGCCTTCCCTGTCCACGTATCCTGCAACTGATGACATCATAATGGTGGAATCATAATGTCCCCATGGTCTGCTATGTAGCAGTTTCCTCCAAATTGAAACACTTGGTCCAGTAGGGTGGGGGAGGCTTATGATATTCTGAAGGTAAACAAAATACCGTGTATCTGGGGAAAGTGGAAACTTGCAAGATGCTTGAAGGCTGCTCCCCAGCTTTCTAGAAGGAGTAAACAACTGCTGGAATAGGAGTGTGTGACCAGGCTGCCAAGAGGAGACCCCTTCAACCTGTTGAATTATTGTGCCGAGAGCTTCACGGATGCAGCTCTTGTGAGTTGGCACCCGTGTTGAGTGGGGTTTTTCATAATACAGTGACTATTAAGTCATCCCTGGTCCTGTAAGTAACCCCTCACCCACACTCCTGGTAGTAACCCCATTGGTTCACCAGGTTGGAATTTGGTGCAGTCCTTCCTTTGGTCTATCATGGACTCCCTTTCCAGGGTAGATGTGTGTGTTGTGTCTCCCCAGAAAGTCTGTTACACAACACTGGGCACCCGGTAGAGGGACATGACAGAACCAAAGATGAGTTGGGGAGGAATGATTGCATAGTTCTGGCTGTGGGTAGTAAAGCATGCAGCTGAGGGTGGAGCATCCTCAGGGAATTCCAATGCGTCCATCCTTTCCCATGTGGTATGTGGTATGGGCCTTTTTGCTGTGGCAGTGGCTGCATGGGTCTTACATGGGTTGTGAGATGTGTAACTAAGGCAGAGCCAGTGGGAGTGTCTGTTGGGAGAATCCCAGTGTTGAGTAGGCATGTCCTCCGAGGAAACTAGAACTGAACCCCCAGAGACTCAGGTGGGGAGGGGTCTAGAGACAGTAGTTGAGAAGTGCTGAGTGCACTGGGAAAGTTCATGTGTTTGTAAATGACCCTTTGAAATTTGTTGGCAAGCCCAAATAAATATTCTTATTCCCCAAACTGTAACTTAAGAGGAACATTTTGATGGTTTAGTTAGAACCGCTGGGAACCTAACCCAGTTTTTCTGTAAGAGCAGCCAGTGCTCTTAACTGCTGAGCCATTTCTCCAGCCCCCTGAATTACGGACTTTTAAACAAGCAGTTTGTCTCAGAGTGGCTTGTGAGTCTGTGGGATGCGGGAGCAGATGTGATCAATCCAAGTGCTAGAGACGCAGAACATCTGGGTGACATACCCACCTGTCTCCAAACACCTGAGGTGGGATGAGGGGACTGTCTGGGATGAATGGGCTCATGTGAGCCATTGCGGACACTTGGTTACTACCACTAGGTCCTCATGGATATTAAGGAATGGAAGATGACAGAGGAAGGACAGGCATTACTGAGGGAACTGGGATAACAGAAGTTGTGTGTTTGATCCTCTCTTTACTGGGACAGATAGAACTATGTCCACAGGAGAGTTAAACAAAATTGATTCTGTGGGAACCTCAAGACTGGTGTGGGGCATTAGTGGCTTTGTGGAGCACCATAGTGGGGTGTGGTCTTTATATAGTAGGAGAGGCTCTGTCCATCTAAAGTGGCTTAGATCAGCATGTCAATCAGGCCTGTAAAGACAAAAAAAGGGGGTGGTCTGTCCAGATTACTTGGAGGCAAACTGGAGGTCCTAAAAGCTGACAAAAATTCAAATGCTGTGCAAATTTTAGAGCCTGACAAGAGTTCACAGAAGGCATCAGTGATGAAACAAAATAAAAAGATCAGGCTTGTCCCTGGGGTGGGCAGTCATATGCCAGAGTAAGCTATGGACATTTTTTTTTTTTTTCCAGCTGGAAAGTATGCTGGGGTAGAAACTGTCCACAGTCTCGGGCTCCCACAGAAGTCACATGTGGCTGAGGAAGTGGCAATGACTAGCTGCATCCTGGAGCCTCAGCCTTCAGGAACCAACTTAGCACGAGCATAGCCCTGCTCCTTATTGCATGTGGGTCTGGCCAAGCAGTATGAGACAGTCCCAATAGACCCATCAAGGGGTGGGGAGATGCACACATGGCTCCCTGGAAGCACCCCAGGATAAGAAAGGAGCATGGTCTGGGTAGATGACCACAACTATGGAAAGGCAGTGCCTCCCAATTGTCTCTGCTCTTTTTTTTAAAGTTTTTAAAAGTTAGTTTAATTTTATGTTCATGAATGTTTTGCCTGCACGTATGTAAGCGCATCCCTATTGTGCAAAGCCCATGGAGGCCAGAAGAGGGCATTGAATCCTCTGGAACTGGAGTTATAGATGGTTGTTTCCCAATATATGGGTACTGGGAATTGAACCCAGATCCTCCAGAAGAATAGCCAGTGCTCTTACTGCAGAGCCATCTTTCCAGCCCCCAACACTGCCCTTCTGACTGAATAACTGATACAAATGATGGGGTCTTTCCATGCTCTCTTAAACCTTGCAGATTTGGGTTACCCCAGATATCATATTCCAATGTGGTGACACTGTCATGAAGCTTTTACAATAACATCAAAGGAAGCTATACATCAAGGCACTTTAAAAAATACTGTTAATTAAGCCAGGTGTGGTGACACACACCTTTGGTCCCAGTAGAGGCAGGCAGATCTCTGTGAATTCAAGGCCAGCCTGGTCTACAAAGCAAGTTCCAGGGCATCTGGGGCTACAGGGAGGCCCTGACTCAAAAAGACCAAAAAAATTTTTTTAATTTAATTATGTGTGTATCTGTTTATGTCTGCATGAGTGCAGTTGCCTACAGAAGCCAGAAGAGGGCCTCAGATCCCCTGGAGCTGGAGTTACAGGTGGTTGTGAACCACCTGATGTGGGGCTGAGAACTGAACTGAGTCCTCTACAAGAACAGCAAGTGCTCCTAACCACTGAGCCATCTCTCCAGCCCCACATCAAGACATTTTAAAATACATTGGTAGAGACATCAAGTAATCTGGTTACACTGAAGTGGGGAAACCTCTGCTACAGGCTTCTGACACTGTCTGATGACATTCTTAGCTTTTGGGTTGCTGGAGGCTGGGGTTGGTTTACAGATTTCAAAAGGATTTCTCAGATAGTCACAAGGATGGCAATAAGTGGCTGTTTAAGAGCTAAGATGGCTCTGGACCTACATTTCAACTCCCCAACAATCATTCAAGTTTTAATCAGCCTCGAGTGTCTAACACAGGTATAGCTTTTTTTCTGGGAACTTTAGTTCACCATAGTGTGGGCTTTCTCTCACATGCTTTGTTACGTGTAGTTCTACACACAGCTTCAGGCATTACCTCTCTCCCTAGCATCTTAAATCTGCACCCAGGGTTGTGTTTAGTTTTATATAAGGAGTCACAGGTTACTTTCAGATAATGTGGAGTGCTTCTGTGCCTGCACTAGAAGCAAGGTCTAACCTTTGTCTTTGCTGAGGTTTTACATGATTTAAAAAAATAATTGTGTGTGTGTGTGTGTGTGTGTGTGTAGGTCAGAGGTCAGCATTGGTATCCTCCTCCAAAACACTGCAGGGTCTCACTGGACTATAAATCACCAATTAGACAAGACTAGCTCTAAGCCAGTGAGCCCCAGGGATCTTCCTGTTCCTGCTTCCCCAGTGCTGAGGTTAC